GAGCTTCGACAAGCTGTAATTCTCAATATGACCGTCCGCTGGTTGTAAACTTCTACGACTATTGTCTTTGCAAGCCTTCCAAATGCTCAAGAAGTTTGAATCCAATCTAACTTATAAGTTGCAAGAAAACTTCATTAATCCATACTTTTGTATCTTGACCGCCGCCTAGAAGTCCTTGACTTACCATGCCAAATCATCTTATTCCAACCGATAGATCTCCAGATATTACACAAATCCTAAACAACCCTAATCTGCTAACTTCTGATACCTCTTTATACTAATGGTCAAATATCCTCTATCTGTTCTATCAGATTAATACAACTTTTTGCATGCACTTGGCATACTCAATCCTCTAGATACCTCTAAATTTCCACTGCAGAAGTTTCTCCAATTTCACAAAACAGTCAACAGTATCAACCTTAATTTTATTGCAAAAAAAATCCAAATCACCAATACAAACACTGACTTTCAGCAACGATTGCCAAAGTTCTCCCAAACCCTATGAAATCCAATTCTACACCTTTTGAAGGAGCTTGAAGCTAGCTCTCCAATCCCAAAATCTTGATCTTTGAATGCCCCTTTCCTTATCCTCTCCTCCCTTTTAACTCGATGTGGTCCCCTTTTCTCCCGCCTTAGACTTCGAATTAGAACAGCCAATGACGCTTCCCCGGAATTCCTGTCTCTAAGAGGATCTTTCCATGGAAAAGACGTTCCTTCCAAAATGGCATAGAGAACGGAACAGATTGAAATGGAACCAAAGCCTCCATATTCGGGACCTCATTGGGTTACTCAACCAAGTCAGGTCTCATTTTGGATAAGAGGCCCATACTAGGACCTGGATTCAATGTCTTCATAATTGGGTCGAATTGGCCCTTCACAGCAAACTCACCCGAATATTGAATTGGTCCTTTTTCCTTTTGTCGACTCTTGGTAAAAAAAACTTACTAAGATTTGGTTGAGCATTGAATTTGAGTGATTTGAATTGATAACAAATATTTTAGAGTTTTTCAAATTAAGATGTATTATAAGTGATTTAGATTTTGAGAAATAAAAAAATATATATATAATTTTGAAAATCACATGAGTATTTTTGAATATTAAGAAGTGAATATATATATATATATATATACTTATGTATCTATTTTTTTAAAATTTGTATTATGAATTTGAATTCAGTCTAATAATTATTGAAATTTAATTAGATAATATTTTAAAATTTGGATTTTAAGGATAAATAAGGATTTATTTAATCTTAAGTAATTTTCTAATTAAATTGAAGTAAAAATTTTAAATCATATTATTAATATATTTTTTAAAACAATTACAAATTTTTAGTGCAAGTGAATAGTTCAATAAGGAAATTTTGCTCTTAGAAGATCAAAATTAAGATTGGAAAAAGAAGAAAATTGATATCAAAAAAATAAAGGAATTTTTTTTTCCAATTAGTGAATTATATTTTCTTTTAAATTGTGGTACTTATTTTTAATTATTAGATTGCAATAAATTTATAAATTTAAGTAAAATTAATAGTTTAATAAATAATTATTGAGATTTTAAGTCAATCATAGGATTGATTAGGATTTGATTAGGATTTATAGGATATCTTTAAGCTTTTATTCGGATATATTAGGATTTTTTTATGGTTTAATTGGAAATTTTTATAATTTTTTTTAGTTTATTTATGATTTTTTAGAGTTTTTTTAGAAAATTATTAAAATAATTATGATTTATTTAGGATTTAGTTAGAATTTGATTAGAAATTTTTAAAGTTTATTTAGAGATTTTTTCGGATTTTTTAACAACTTTAGAATTTTTTTATAAAAAATTCTTTAATTTTTATTTTAAATATTTTTTTATGATTGCTTTATAAATTCTTTAGAATTTTTTAAAGATTTATTTTAATAATCTTTATAATTTATTTGATATTTAAAAAAAATTATCTATTGATGATTTTAAGAATTATTTTACATTCTTTAGGATTTTTATTAAGGTTTGATTATAATTGTTAAGATTCAATTAAGGTTTCTTTAGAATTTTATTAGAATTATTAGATTCTTTTTTTTGAAGTAAGTGCTATTTACCTTCTAAAGCTATATTCCGAATACATTTCCAAGTTAGTTTTCACATAATATAACAATATAGTTACCATGTTTTTAAATAAAAATTTAGAAGGATCAATCTACTTACTTCAAATATAAAGTTTTATTTCACCAAGACAAAAATATCTTATTTTCCATCTTAATTTTTTCATATATAGATTCAAACAAAATATACACATTTGATATACTAAGATCAATTCTTATCTTTTTAATTCACAATGTAAGAGAAGGGTCTACCATAGTTATTATGGTATTATTTGTAAATGATCTTATTATAAGAAACTAAAATATCAAAATTCAACAAATACAATATTTTTTCCAAATCTAATATGAAATGAAAAGTTAGATTCTATCAAAAATTATTTAAGAATTAAATTTATTATCTCTAAACATGATGTATTTATCCATCAAAGTTTCTATATTCAATAAATTTTATTAAAATTTAACATATTGGAATACAAATATATATCTATGCTTTTATTTAAAAACATTTCTCTTGTAATTAAAACCTGCTTCTAAAATTCAATCAAATATTCTATTATAATTTCATTAAGTAATTATTTAACTTATTAATTTTTACTTGGATCTTTCATATGCCATTGGCTTTGCTAATCAATTTATAGTCTATTTCAAAGCATTCTATTGGAATATAGTTTGAGAAATCATTTCTTAAATCTAGAACATATTTAACTATAGCATTCTCTATTGCATAGGTATTACTTCTAGTCTTTATTATTTCTCTTATAGTCATGCCATAACTTTAAAGGCTACACTAATTCTAACTAAGCCACATGCATGGAATCTTATTATAGTATCTATAGTTTTTGTGTTTTTTTCCTTAAAGAGAGGTGGTTTCATGGGCAAGTAAAAAACAACCTACATTGGTAGTTTTTGGTACAAAAGCTGAACATAGAGATTAAAAAAAGATACAAAGGAAGAAATTTATTTATTGAAAATCATCAAAGAGCAGAATCTTCTAACAATGGACTCAAAGAAAATTAAAATAATAAGGCCACATTGACTCTTGAAGGAACATTTATACTGACTAAGATGGATATTGATCTTAGATGCTACAATATCAGTGCAATCAAGCTTGCCAAAAAGTTGGTATTTCATGCACTCTCTACACATAAAATTACACCAGTACTAAGTGAGAGAGAAAGTAATCAAAGGTGATACCTTTGTCTTATATGTGAATATTAATTAGCAAATATTGGATATATTTACAATACCATTTGATAGACTATCATTGAAGAAGCATAAAGCAATAATAAGAATATAAACTTTATCAAATATGAAGTATGCAATTTAGTACAACCAACTCTTATGTGCTACTGCCTCCAATCACTATCAATAGGCTTTGTGATGGACCATCACATAAAATTTCTTGTAGTCCATCACAAAGCCTTTAATCAACATCTTAGCTTCTCCTTGTGGCAAGCAATCTTCTAAGTTGCAATACATACCTTGACCATGCTTCTTCAATAACTTTCCACATTGTTTTTGAACTACATTAGACATACTCATTGTCATTTTTAAGGAATTCAATTTTAAGGCTCTAAAGCTTGTACAATCTTCATCACAACTAAATGTCTCAATCATGTTATGAGTGACATGAATTAACACTATCACCAATTTTAAGAGAGACCACAAACATGCCAATGTTGCTTTTGAGAGCCAACTCAAATTTCTTGTTTTTAGATCCATTTGTGCTTGATGTTCTTGCCTTCAATTTCAAAGGGGATTTTGGAAAAATCTAGCAACATCAGCAACCCATCTCTCACTCATGCATCTGCACAAATCCACAGCTTGAGCTATATAGATTATAGTTAGGTAGATGGTTAGGGCGAGTCATTACATGAATATACTTAGCGTTGTTTTAAAGTTATAGCATTTGCACTCATAATTCAAATTTTATTAAATATTACAAATGTTATAGAAAAATCAGAGATATTGATTTACTAATACAACATTCTTCTATCATTCATTGTTTCTTTTTAGTAGATAATTGAATAATAAGGAAAAAAAAATTAAATTCTTTGTTTGTATGTATGTTTTTATTTTAGAAAAAATATACAAACATTGAAAAAATATGGTTATTTTTTATATCCATGCAATTTACATGCTATTATTTTATGAATTTTTTTATAAATATGAAAAATTATTTGATATTATAATTATTTGTCATAAATATTTTTAATTGCTAATACCCTCAATTCTATCAAATAAGCACTAAGTAAGTAAAGATAACAATCAATAGAATTGGAGGTATCTTAAGTTGGATGCTCTTGTAAGCATTACATACATGCAAATGATATTGGACAAGAAAGATGGGCTTTTTAAATGCAAGATCAAATTTGTACAAACATACAAAGATCCAACTTAGATGCATCACACATTTGATAGAATATAAAATAGGCAGAAAAAAACAAAAAAAAAATAATTACATAACAAGAAATAACACAAAAACAAAAAAAACAAAAAACAAAAAACAAAAAAAAAATTAATGAAAATTCCTAAAACACCTTGGTTTATTTACAACATCAAATATAAAAACTCTTGTTAAAAAAATACATGCTTTTTATGTTAATTAAATTTTTTTAGGGATTGTTCAAAAGGTAGGAAAAACATCTATAAGATTCCTACATTTTTGTTGCAAATTAATCTAAATTAGCATGAAAATTCTAAGAAATGTTTTATACCATGTATGAAGAATTTGGAAGTGAAACATGAGTCTTGCATGTGATTTTGATACATAGTCATTAATATCCATTGCATGATATCAATATCACATGTTGATTTTTTAGGAGAAAAAGCGCTACTGTGTGAAGCACACAGTCTTGTATTCTTAATGGGAGGTGGGGGAGGAAGCTCGAGGAAGCAGAGCCCTTCGGCAAGCTGAGGTACATAAGGTTCCAAGTCAGCCTTCGTCACCCGAACCCACTTCACTGCAAATCCATCGCCTCAAATTCACAGCCCAGCAATCCAAGCATCCGATTTGGCAGCTGGGTTTTGTGCCTCCATTTGCTCCAATCCTACATTCCATTGTTCAACTTCTCGCACACTGGGAGCGCTGCCGTTTTTTTCGTTGCTGTTGCTGCGCTGATTGTCCCATTTTCGGCAGGATTTTTGGCAGGATTGGAGCTGGGAGTGTTCTGTTGCGTTTCCAACAGGTGGATTACGCGAACGATGATTTTCTTTTTAGGAATACGCACGGCTTTGCTGCTATGTTGTTGCTTCATTGGTCGGTGGAAATTAGGCCCATGGGCTCTCGTTTCTTGTTTGGACATTGTTGAGGTTTGTGCATTGTTCGTTGATGTTGATTGGGTGAATGTGTGGTGAGTTGTATTCGGTGAGAGGTAGCTGATTTGTACTATTGTCGAAATTTGGGCGGAGCAATCTTTGAGGAAGTTATTTTTTGCAGGAGGCGAAAGCTGTCCCAGAACGATGTCACAAGCGGCGTGTTTTCGGACCCTACCCCAAGCGTCATGTGCAGCTAATTTTGGCCATGAGAGTTTGAGCAGAGTAGGAGATGTTTCATCAAGCTCGGTCAATAAGTTTCTTCCTGGGCTGTGCATTTATCCAAAGCGACCAGCAAGGAGAACTCCGCATTCTGGTCTGAGGTTACGGACCTTGAGCAGGAACTTTATGGTGCGTGCAAGAAGGTCTGTGGTCACATGTTCGGCGGCTTCAGATCGGATGCGTGGGACTGCTTCTTTTGAACGTGTCTGTGACTGTCTGGTTTACCCTTCTTTGGATCAAAACGGGAGAACGAAGGGAGTTATTCATTTCATAGGAGGCGCATTTATTGGTGCTGCCCCAGATGTGATATACAGGTTCAAAACACAACGGGCTCTCACGAGTTTTCACTATTTATGCAAATTGCAAGTGGACTTGCAGTGGTTAACGTTTTTCAAAGTTTACGGAATTGCCAGATATATGTACCCAAGCCAGTATTCCTTGTTTGTTATAACTCTACATTCGAAAATGGAGAAACAATTGTCTTCCTCTTTGTATATTATATTATTGTATTTTATTTTGTTTGTTTCTTAACCATCACAATATTGAATAGTTGGTTCGTAACAGAAAATTTTTATGCCTTGAACTTAGAAAGCTGTTTTGTGAATTTGATTGTGAAGACTTTTAAAATATGAGATCATGCTTTTGTAACTATGTGGGGTTGTTTGTATGAACGGGCGAGCAGTGTGCTGATAGAATTACTGGCGAAGGAAGGATATTTGATAGTGGCAACGCCATTCAGTTTGAGTTTTGACCATACGGTTTCTGCCCAGGGCATTCACACCCGATTCAACACCTGTTTAGATTATTTGTCGAACACAGGGTTTGCGGGCCTTTCTGCTGGAGACATCTCGACACTCCCTGTGTACAGTGTTGGCCACAGGTATGATTCCATCCGTAGATGAGCGCGTGGTTGGTTAATGGGTGTGCATACCGCCATTGGAGCAGTAAGATATCTTCTATGACGTAGAGCTAAGTCAATTCCTTCTGGTTGTGGCAGTTGTTCTTATGAAAATAATGGGCGTCAATTTTTTTGAGATTTATCTGCTGTTTTCCGACGAGTCTCATCTCAGCTTTCTCATCTGTTTTTACCTTGAAACGTCCTTCAAGTCTTGATGGACTTATATCGATCGCTGCTGTCGTGATTTCCAGTTTGGGAGCGTTAATGCAGGTGGTCATTGGAAGCACTTGCTCAGGAGGGAGGTTGCCCAAGGTGCGCTTTGATTTAGGACATTTATCTTTTCTGTACATTGAATTCCTTTTAGAGTGGCATAATTTGGTTGTCTACATACAAATGGTTGTCTATAGTTTTTGTTGGTTGTGGAGAAAAGAGGAGTCAATTTAAAGGACTTGTATGCTGTGGATCAGGCAAGTGCACTCATTTCATTCAATAATAAGCCTGCTTCAGATGCAGTACCCTTCTTCGACCAGGTGAGCTTCTCCCTGCGGTCTCCTAGATACTTGCACGTGTTGAGTCTATTTCAAACTGTCAGCGATATAGCGCTAAAACACTTGCTGAGGATAAGCTACATGAATTTTTGGAGCTTATTTTAATTTAAAGGTCAGGCTGATCTTCACGCATTTCTATCCTCTACTGCAGATGGGCCCAACGTTGGCGCAGGTTGCACCAATAGTAGAATCGTCTCCGGCCACTGAATTCGCTCGAGCTTTCAGCTGTACGTGCTTGTTTGTCATTGTTTATTATTGTTTATTATTGGTGTTGAATACCTTAACTTATTTCACATAAATGGTAATGCTTGAATGAGTCATAATAGCCTATGTGAGTATGTCAGATTAATGCATTGGCTTGACTGAGGCTCTTGAGATTTTGAGACTGATGTAATAGGCTGTTTTCAGCAGAGGCAATCAGAGCAGTTCTGGATTCGCGAGTTCCCCTGCCACCCGCCGTTGGTGACAACCTGCAGTCTTTTCGACAGTTTCTGGACCAGATCCCAGCTGTTTTCGACCAGGTTACCTATGTGTTTCTCATCATTCTGAGTATGTTGCGATATTTAGTATATCGATTATATTGTGGATAGTTTCACTTTGCTAATATTGGTTATATTGATCTTTCTAAACTTCTTCTTTCCCCGGCAGGTTTCACAGGGAGTTTCAGAGTTCACTCCGACTCCTGCACAGAATCGCGCAGCTGCGTCCCTTTCATATGCTGTACCCAATAACCTACTGGTACGTTGTAAAAATGACCCCATTTGCCGATTCTGTTCGTCAACTTCCATGCATCATTTCGCAGAGCGAGTAATCAGACATCTGATGATATCTTCCATTGGTCCTGCACAGGTGAAGTTTACCCAAGACGCTATAGATGAAACAGATGTTTTGGAAGAAATTTTGGGGCCTCGCTCCGAAGCATTAGGAGGAAAGCTGACCAAAGTTGTACTTACTGGGAATCACCTCACCCCAGTGGCTCCAGTAAGTACACAATCCTCTGAAATCCTCTGAAATTTTCCAATCTTCTCTCTGCTCTTGCAGCATTCACTTCTTCTGTCCAGTTTGAATCACAGAAAAATCTGATTGTGTAACTTCTTCTTGCTGTAAAAAACATTGTTCCATGATCCTCAGAGATTGCCCTCTTCTCTTCTGTATACTTGGTTTGGATGGATGTTAAGGTGAAGGGAAAACTAGGAAAACAGCTATGTTATAAGGTGCTTGGCAGGGGCCGTTCGTTACGCTTTGATTATACATTCTTAGTTATGAGCTTGCAAACTGGATACTGTGTGCAGGATGTGAAGTGGCAAGCAGGTCGAGAATACACTCCTGCTGATGCTGTCGCCCAAGTTTTAAGAAATGTAGCTCTAGCTGACTTGCGAGTTTTGTCGAGAAACATTGCTGATTGGTTTTCCTCTCTCTAACTTGATGTATTGTAAGTTTCTTTACAATTTAGATTGCCGATTATTCTTGTTACTTAGTTTTGTGTGTTGAACTAAAGTATCTCTTAGCACATGACTCAGCTTTCTGAAGTATCGTAGAAGTTATCAATGAATTTTTCGTAATACCGCATTAAGGTTGGATTAATGTGGTTAGAACCATCAGAATGCTACATTAATTTGCTTCACTATGACTTCAAGGGTAACCCATGAACGACTGCTGTATTGCTTCTTTCATCAGTGGTACTCCAGACTGAGCTCTATAATTTTGGACTCTGTAATTTAAAAACTTGGAAATGGTGATGCATTTGCAAGTTTCCAACATTTGTATGTGTCGTAGAAAATACTGTCTTAGTACGACTTATGTCTCGTAATACGCTACTATAACAATACTTTAGTATTTTAGACAGGCAGGAGAGAAAACGTATCAACTCAATTCTCTAGGGAATAATTTCATGTCTTCATGCAGAATGTTGTAACATAGTGATTAGTGCAAACATCTTGCAAAATGTTTTTACAAACATTGATCTATTCTTTTATGTGAAGCTTGGTAATTTATTTGATTACTTATAACAGAATGTATGCTAACATTTTAAACTAAATAACAATGTAAATACAATGTAAATATAACTACAGAAGAAATACAAATATATATATATATATATATATATATATATACACATGTACACAAGATTGCAATGTTTTTTTAAGCCTATCTAAAATACTTATTCAACACAATTAACCAAATATATATATATATATATATATATATAAATAAACTTTTAACCTTACTAAAATTTATGAACATTACTAAAATACAATAAAAGAAACGATTGTTGTAAGTATGGTTTATATTAAATCTAGTATTGCAATCACAAGATATTTCAATTCTTGTGAATTGTGGAGGTACCAAATTTCAAAAAGTGTCTTATGGAGCAATCTATCGAGTAAGTACTTATCTTAGTGTTTGAAAACATGTCCTTATGAACTTTAAACGATTCATGGAGACATCTTTAAACAATCTTTTAAGATCCACGTTCGATAAAGTAATACACATTCAAGCACGAAGGGATCTTAATACATTCGGTTCTTCATACAAATAATAAATATATATATATATATATATATATAAGAAAAGAAGCTAAAGTTGTTCAGTGGGGTGCAATCCCCAATAGTTAGGAAGCACGGTTGAGGGAATCCCTTTTAAAGTGGATGACAGATTCCGATTCTGAACTGTCCTCCAGAGGATCCCGTACATCGCGGTAAACAGTTGCGGGTCGAGAACCGCCGCCTGAAACCGTCCCGAGGAGGAGGGCCCATGGCCGTGGTGGCGGAGAGCCACTTCCTCACATAGCGATCGCAGTGCGACCCCACTTGCTTTGCTTTGTCTTGTTCATCACCCTTTCCTTCGTCACTAGGCTGTTCGCCGGGGAGCCCGTGGAGGAGGAGGAGCAGCAGGAGCAGCAGCAGGCGATGTGAGATTGATCTCCTCGTTGCCCACCCGCCGCCTGTTTTCCCCCACATTGCATCGGGATCATGCTGAAGGGAGTCTTGGGCAGCGTTGCAATGGAGTCTCCGTCGCCTGTGGTGGATATGGGAGTTTTGGACCCCGACCTGCTGCAGCTCCCTGCGGACTTCTCCTCTGCATCTCCTTCCCCTACCCATTCTTCGTCCGCATCCTTGCACGGAGCCAGCAAGCCTGGAGCACTCTGTAAGTTGCTCTTGGACGAGCTTTTCGCGCAATGGATTTCGCTGCCCGACGCGCAACGTCTGGTGAGTGATGATGATTATGGGTAGCGTGTAGAGTGGGGGAGTTTTGGCGTTGATTTATGAGACAAGTGAGGTTTGCCGCTTTGGGTGTTGGGTTTGGAGTGGTGAGATGTTTTGGGCTAGTTTTGAGAGGGGCTGTGGATGGATCCAATTAGGGTTTTGAAAGATTGAGCTTAGGGGATTGCAGTGGGATTTGTTCATTGTCATGGCACAATGCAGGTTCTAGTTTAGGATTTTGAATGAATATAATCAATGTAGAGTGAGTTGCAGTGTAATGTCCTGGCCTGGCCTCGCTGATATATAGTGGAGATGTGATTTCATGAGAGATTCTGATAAGTGACTCAGGAGAGAGTTTAATCTTGTATTTGGAGATGTGGTTCGGTCTGCATTATGAAAGTCGGTTTTGAGGAAAGGTGTTGTCCTACATGTGGCTGATATCCTCTGTTGAGTGGTCACGGAAGGGGAATTTTGAGTAACCTCATCAGTTCTATATCTCCCACAAGTTAGGTTTTACTTAGAGTGAATTACGATCCTCATCCTTTCGTCTTGTTTATTGTCATTTCCTTGGCCCTATTATATCTCACATAGCACGGCATTGTATCATTGTCTAGCCTGATCACACTGCCCTGCAGGGGGATTGCTTTTCATTTGTTTCTATATTGCCCTGGGATCTTCTTTCTACTCCTGAACTTAATCGTGCAAGAAAATCAGGCCTATGTATTTGTGGTCCCCTTCGAGTACTTCAGTTCTCTGATGCTAGGTCATTTGTTCTCATTGTTTTGGATCATTTGACCAGTGAATACAGTTTTTCGATTCTTCATCCACCCCACCCCACCCCACCCCCTCGCCTTCCTCTTCTTCCTTATTTTTTTTACTTTTGTTTGTCTCCCTCTCCTTTCTCCAGGTTTCTTCATCCTGTATGTTTCAGTTTCTTCGGACCCAACGTGCCCTTTCAAAGACCTCGCAACTGCCCTGCAGATGCTCTCTTTAAAATATGAGCACCGTTTGTCCTTTTTTATTTTTTACTTTTTTTTATTGTTTCTTTCATCAGGCATATCAATGGGTATTATTGTTTCACATCTTCGTGCAGTTAACATACAGTAAGATGGTGTTTTGAACCTGAGGGTTTCTTGTGGGCCTTGAGTTGTAAGCGTGCACGTATTTAGTACTATTATGTACCTATCATTTCCCTTCACGATTCTTGGGCTCTGGCTATTGTAGATTCTTGATATTCGAGGTTTTAGCTTATCGTAGATTAGTCCAAGACACTGTTAGACCAGAGTTGTATAGTAGTAAGTACATCCTGGTGTTCTGATAGGCTTAAGTCGTTATTACATGTATTACCCACCGTCTTTCGCTCTCGCTTAAGGACGCGCATTCGAGTGCTTAAGTCTTGAACATTCGAGTGTAGTAGAGAAAAGTTTCGTTCCAATGTGTCTACTCAGTGTTTATGGGATGCTCATTGCACGTTCTCAAAGTCATCCATCTTTCTGTAGGTTTCGAATCTTCTGGAAGAAGCGAAAGCTGGAGCAGGACCCCTCAACGTTGGCTCATCACTTTTGCCAACTCATCTTTCTGTAGCAGTGGGGAATACTCCGCCATTGTCTCCTCGAAGCTCTGGATCTCCAATGTCTCCAAGGTCTCCTTTCAGCAGACGAGCAGGAACTAGTCACTTGATGCGGGACTCTCCGTTGAAGAAAAGTAGTGAACCTATTCGAGAAATCATACCCCAGGTAATTTTAATAAATCTATTCTTGCAAATGGTTGAATATGCATTGTACAGTGAAAATCACGACACTACGGCAATAGTAGTGATGTCTAAGAATTTTCTAGATTCATAATCTGGAAACTAGAGTTAATAGTTACTCTTGGAACGAGCTTCTACAAACATTGTGATGGTAACTTTCTCTTCATTCCAGACGACTTATAACTTCAAATGAAACGTGTGCAAGTACGTCGGTTCTCTGCAGTTTGGGGCCAGTATTCTAGAAACCGCCCGGGTTGTAAAGTGTTCTGAAACTTCCTTAAGTCCTCAGGTCGTGTACCCTTTTGAACTCTCAATCGTACATCTATGCAATTTATTAGCAGGGCATGAACGATTGTTGTTTTATCATTGGCTTTTCTGAAAGTTCTTAATAGACATGAGGTGGATTTCGTGACTGATTAAAAGAGTCAGGGTTATCTGCTGGCATTGTAGATTGGACTTACATGGGGGGTTCGGTTTGATGCAGTTTTATTTTCCGCATGGACCTCCGCCATCGAAGGATACGACCGAATCATGCATGGCTCGCATTAATCAGATATTTGGAGCCCATCCAGAAGGTCTACCTGCATCAGGTCAGTCTTCGCAAATGGAGTTTTGACTCGATCTTCTGTCGACCAGGTCAGAGTAATGGTGAATAGATCTTAAATGTCTGATTTGAATAGGAATACTTCACTGGAGCTGGGTTATTGAAAAACTTTCTGCTGTTGACTATGTGCAGCTTTTACAAGTGTCACCAAGGATGTCTGCAAGTTGCCATCCTTCTTTTCAAGTTGTTTATTCAGAAAGATCGATGTCAACAATTCAGGCCTAGTGACGAGGTTGGAAATTGTCTCAACACCGTTTAAATTCTAATTACCGTGTAGCGTATTTACTATGTGAAGCGGTTTGTTCCTTCTCTATGGCGTTGACTGTCGCATTTTGTATTTCAAATTTGTTAATTTGCATTCTACATGTCACTGAAATTTCAATTGAACTAACGTGGATTTTGAATATTCATAGGGACAAGTTCATAGAATATTGGGTGGACCAAAATATGCTAGCTATGGACACTGCAACTCGCATTTTTACTATTTTGAAGCAAACTGACAAGAATTTCCTCAGACAGGTTTGTCTGATATAGTTTCGACAGTAACTTCATTTTGTCCTTGTTTATAACATTTGTCTTCTCCTTTCTTATGGGGTTACCGTCCATGTACTCGTGTCTGTTGCTAGTAGTCCTACCATCTACTCCATTTGTAGAGTTAACTGTTCTGTATGGTCCATGATGAATTTGCTAAGTTGAATGTAATGTGTTCATATTGTGCGTAGGAGGACTTTAGGCCTATTTTAAGAGAATTGCTGTTGACGCATCGCGGTTTGGAATTTCTTCATGATACCCCAGAGTTTCAAGACAGATATGGTACGACTTCGTTACAAATTCTGCACATGATCTATGCACTGATCCTGTAAAGACTTCAATGGTATTTTTGAATGCTAGCATGATTAGATTTTCAACTTGAGTAATGCATCCTGATTCTTTGTACTCCAATGAAATGCTGTGTTGGTGGACAGCTGAAACTGTGATCTACAGAATATTCTACCATGTAAATAAATCTGGGAATGGTCGGCTACAACTTAGAGAGTTAAAACGGAGTAACTTAATTACTGCTCTTCAGCAAGTGGATGAAGAAGAAGATATCAACAAAGTGTTGCGGTGAGTATATCTCCTGGCGAATTTCCTGCTTTTTACATCTTCAGGTCTGATGATACCCTTGAACTATTACTGAGTTGTGAGCAAGAAATGCTTGGGTGTGGGCGAAGTTGTTTAAACAAGTTAAAATTATAGACTCTTTGTAAGATCTTTTCCGATTATGTATGGTTACAAGTTTCTCTAAATAGATAATATTGGCATGCCCTCAATAGAAGACAGTATGGTACATTGATGTGAATTTAGGTTTCTACTTGTGTATCTGTAGGCTCATCCACGTAATCGCTTCGTGCAGGTACTTCTCATATGAACATTTTTATGTCATATATTGCAAATTCTGGGAGCTGGATTCAGATCACGACTTTTTGATAGACAAAGATGACCTTCTTCGATATGGAAATCATGCTCTCACCTACCGAATCGTGGAGCGTATCTTTTCCCAGGTGCATTCTAATATCCGACTTGAATTTCAAAATCTAGTTTGGGAAACTTAGCATGGATGTAAGAAATGTTTCATGATTGAAGTGAAGATCATGACTATTTCTGTCTAGTAATTCGCTATTTCAAAGAAAAAGAATAATTCCTGAGGGTTGGTTCTGATAATGTGGTGGATTTCAGGTTCCAAGAAAGTTCACCAGCAAAGTAGAGGGGAAGATGGGTTATGAGGACTTCGTGTGGTTCATTCTTTCAGAAGAGGACAAGTCTTCAGAACCTAGCTTAGAATACTGGTACGTACCTTTATATGGCCTCTAAAATGCTCTCCACTTTTTTGGCATGAAGTTGATGTTTTTGAATGCAAATCATGTGCTTTCTGACAAAACAGTATTTAGGATAAAGGATTGAATTTTCACTCGGATTGATTAGTTACATAACAACGAGGACATCGAGTCTAATTTATTTTTTCTTGTACACCTGATGCAGGTTCAAATGTGTGGACCTGGATTGTGATGGTGTGATAACACCAAATGAGATGCAATATTTTTATGAGGAGCAACTTCATCGGATGGAGTGCATGGCTCAGGAGCCTGTTCTTTTTGAGGATATCGTTTGTCAAATGGCAGACATGATAGGACCTGCGGTAATCTTTTGGTTTGAAGCTTTGTATTACTCCGATATTCTGAACAGGCTTTCTCACGGTCGCACTGAACAGGTCTTGCGTGAACTTCATCGCTGCTTTGTATGAAGTTCTTGCTGAAATTTTTCTTCTCTGGTTGCAGAAAGAGGGGCAACTGACACTTAAGGATTTGAAGCGATGTAAATTGTCTGGGAACTTCTTCAATATACTCTTCAATCTCAATAAGTTCGTTGCTTTTGAGACTCGTGACCCCTTCCTCATCCGTCAGGTATTTCGTCCTCTTATTCAAGATCTCAGCATATCAGTCATCTTCTAAGCTTGATATTGTAGTACGAAAAACAGGTCCCTTTCGACGTTTATAAATTGCCGTTTTCAGAATGCACCTTCATCCCCTTCCTTCTTTGCACTTCTGTGATGCAATTTGGTTTATATCAATTTTACCTTTGTGTAGTCTTCCAACTATCAATTTTAAAACGAAAATATATTTCCCACTAACTGTGGACACTCAGAGGTGCTTCTTAATTGCAATTATGGACGTTGTGAGCAGGAGAGAGAGGACCCATCATTAACCGAGTGGGATCGGTTTGCACACATGGAGTACATTCGGCTTTCAACAGAGGAAGATGGTGAGGATGCTTCCAACGGCAGTGCTGAAGTCTGGGATGAGCCTGGCTATGAAGCTCCATTCTAACCTTTCGTTCTCTCACAACGTTCAGACATTTGAAGCTTCAAAGCAGACGATGACGGCATAATGAAATGCCTGCTGAGTTTTTTAGAAACTGGTCTGTGCAACCCTTAAATGGTTTTCCTTTTAAATCGTCGAGCATTTTGTTTGAGTGAGCATCCTACCTCGAGGACCTGGGCTTTATTGAAACACCATACAATGCATGTGACATTTGTACAGTTTGCAAATGACAGCACTGCATCTCCTAAATGTCCTGTCTCTCAGGTCACCAGCTCGCCATGTACAGGTGCTACCTTAAAACCAATTTCTTGTGCAAGAACCAAGGACAACTCCACTATGACAACCAACAAATTGAGGCCTATTTCTGCGAAGGTCCGCTGTCAGAAATCTATCTACTCGCTTGCTCAACAAGTTAGTTTGCCTTGGTATAGGCCGCTGAGGTAGCCCTCTTGGCTTCAGGGCCATTTTGTTTGTGACGGTGTAGTTACTGCAGTGGAATTGGTGTTGGACATCTCTGGCCTTCTGAAATTTTTGTAGGTCCTTCGATGCTCTCCGCAACATTATATGGCTGATTTTCTACGCATGTAGCAGCCTGTCTAGGATGGTTACGTGGACATGGTCCTGTTACTGATATCGGGCCGGAACCATGTAGTAGTTGAACAGGTAGGCAGTAAGATCCGCACTACACCTAATTCCATGTTCTAATTTTTTTATTCCTGTAGAACTTACGTTTCAGATTCTAGTCGATAACCTTCAACTTTTGACTGGTTCAGTTTAAGATTGGGAATAGTATTAGATAGTGAAATGGTTCCTCCGCGTTGCTAAATACTGCAGGAAGCAGCCATCTGTTCAAATGAATGGGTGATTGCTCCCATTGGCTTACAGTTTGAGGTGCCTTGGACAGGTTCAACAGAAATCTATGTCAATGTGTAAACTACTTGCACTTTTATATGGCATTCAGAATGTCCTGATTGCTTATAGACTCTACCTTAGACTCATCATTGGACCCCAAATCAATTATATTAGGTTTTTAATTCTTCTCAAGTGTAAACTCACAGATAGATCAGGTTTCCAACGCATGCTTTAGGTATAAGCGTACGGTTATTTGCGTGTTTATATTCTGTCTTCTGTTGAAACTGCTCTTAAAACTGTTTTACTGACTTTTAACAGGTCACCACTAAAACCTAGTTTATTGAATCACTGGCGTAGCCTAAGTGTCTTGGATATGGTGATTTTGTATCACACGCCGACACTGTTTAAGGGATTTCACGACTGTGCCGTACTCATCCTTGTTGAAGTTCTTTTGAGACACAAGTTTTCCTACAGATTTGAGCTTTCTTGGAAGCGCCTTGGTCAATCACTTAAGAAGCATTTGCTGACTCATCGACAGATATTTTTGACTGCATAGTTTCAACAAAAATTCGCTGCCTCCTTATCAACACGTGCAGTGCAGAGCTCCACATAAGATTTCAAAGGATGGTGCTCTAAATTATGTATATTGTAGCCCACATCATGGATTGTTGTAAGTGTGCAGCTTCAGGAGCAGTTTCCAGAACTGTAATAAGAAGTTTCATGTAGATTCCAGTTCATGGCCTCATTTATTAGCTTCGGAATTAACATTAACTATTTCACTTTGAAACCAAACATATGCAAAAACTGTCGTAAGAATTACTAAGTAAGTTGTCAGATATTGTTCAACAGTCCCATGCTACTCCACTTGTTAGACATCGAATTCAATTATATTAGTATTGTAGAAAGAACATGCCACATTTGCTGACAATTATTAGGTGGACTGAATAACACATCACGATTTGGTTGGATGTATGTATGTGTAATTATATGTACATGTATACAAAAAAACAAACAAAGAGAATTCGCTCTTGTAGTTAATAGATCAAAGTTGCTTAAATCTTAAAAAGCATGTATATAAGATAGATTGAGAAACTAGATAAATTAATGTCATTATTTTAGGAAAATATTACATCAACCCACATAGATTTCAAAACAACTAATTGTTAGTGATTTTCTTCTTACCATACCCATTATATCCCTTCTTAAGAGTTCCATTCTTCATCCCTCTGTCCTTCTAACAAAATTAACACATCACTAAGTGAAAAATATGAGGGATCAATGACGGAGAGCAAAGTCCTAGGGAATACAAGAGCCAAGTGAAGATAGGTGGGTTGATTGAATATTCTTCTTATTTTATTGAGATTATTAAAGTTTGAGCAAGTCATATATAATAACCTTGTAGTGTAGAATTTTGATATTTCATCAAATCATTCTATTTCTTAGCTTGGAATTTGTTTGTCATTTTTAACATATCCTAACAATATAAAAAGTTAGTTGTTATGTTTGGTTGTTTTCTTTTATTTTAAAGTGTGCCATTGGTGAGGCTTGTTTATATATTTTTTGTAACTAGAATTATATTCTAACTGTTTTCATTGATTAATATATATATATATATATATATATATATATAGATTAAACTCACAAATTATATACTAATAATTAAATCACTTCAATCTTTAAAAATCTTAGTCATAGTCTGATGTTAAAGATTTTTTTGGGTTTGCAAATTGTCTTTTAAGGCTCTCACTTCCAAATAATTACATGTGCACAATTTATTAAGTATATATGTTATCTAATTTTATCTTCTTATTACATGACTACACTTCCAAAATTTGTGAATAATTTCTTTCTAATTCTTAGATAAACATTGTTAAGAATGTGATGACATATTTTCTTATAATTGTATTTTTTGAACATTTATGATTTTTCATTTATGCCATACAAACAAGAGTAGCATGATCTCTTTCTTTGCTTGAATTTCAAACAACATATTAGACCAATTTAAATCTAATATGAAAATATATCATACAACTAAAAAATCACTATTGGAATTGCGTCTGTCAGTCATGGAGTTGAATATCCCTATCCAATCTTTGGATTGTGGTGGTTGAGGACATTCACAGATATATTCCACTCGCACCCATCGAAGAAGAAGAAGATGGAGAATCACATAAAGTTGTTATTAACCTTGGTGGCACCGACAATGTGCTAAAGTTGTGTGTGGCCGTATACGCGCTGACCTTTGAGAACAGATCTGCGATCACTTGAATCCGGAATTAGCGGTCAAGAGCGCAACCGAGAATTCTCTATTATTAACCATCACCGCAGTCGGAACCACACGAATCCCACAAGTGTTGACATTGCAGCAGAAAAATTCCCCAGTTTTCTCACTGTATAGAAAATCTTCCCCAAAAAACGAAAATTCGGTAAGCTTTCGGAATTCGAATTCGATCACAATACAGGACTCTGCATCACACCAAGAAGAATTTTTATGGGTGTTCTTCCCCGCGCTTTCTAGGAGCTTCCCTGGCGGATTGCGCTTTAGTGGCACGTCTGGGCCCCGCAAATTTTCCGTGTGGTGGATTGGTCAAACCTCGTGTTAGCAATCTCTCATCGAATCGACCCCAAAAAAAATAAACACACGAAAAGGAACAAAATTTACACTGTATCGCCGATTTCTGGGATCCCTCAAAAGTCACTCGCTGTCGATAAGAGGATGGGAAGACTACTTTTATTTTCGCACCTAACCCATCTCCCACATTTCGCTAATCAGAACACGGCACTACTGAACGCCGAGCCATATTTGTCGGCGTTGACCATGCTCGCTTGGCTCCTTCGTGTCTTCGTCGTGGCCGCAATTTCGTCGTGGTTGTTGATAATTCGATGTAATCCTACGGTTCGTAAGCGGAAGCGTGGATGTGCCAAGTGTGGATGGGTGAGGAAACTTCAACTGTGGTTGGCCTCGGGGAGATGGACGACATGGCTCCTTTTGCTTTAAATGTTGTCTTTGACTGGGGCGACACTTTTTCAGGAAAAAGTAACGTTGGAAGTGGACCAAACAGCTTTCAAATTAACATGCTTGAAAATTTACATACTCCATCAAAACTGATACCTTTCATTTAGTGAATTTTCAAGTGGTGAGGAGTTATATTAAAAGAATTTACTTCTTCATATTTTAAATTAACTTGAATACAATTTATTTATTTATTTACTTACTTATTTATACTGCTCAGTTGTAAGAATATTTTCATTATGTATTCAAATTTTCAGTAAATATTCAGTAAACTGTTTCAAATAGCAAATATCCAGTAAACTTTTTCTTACATAATAATATATTTCTGTGAATTCCTAATTTGAATCCGTTTTAATTAACACAAACATTCAACTGGGCAAAAGGTTGTACAAATTTTAATGTATTTGATATCAAATGTTCATGCACAAAATGATATGCTACACAAGTACTTGATTTATGAAGCCGCAAATAAGAACTGTTTTAAGTGTCATTTTAAAAAATCAAAGAATATAAGATATCATAGTTTACATTAATTTATGTCTTTCATTGATATAAAATATATTTTTAATTTTATCCAGTATAATTCACACAAACTTTTTGTTTAAATTCAATTCTGAGACAATTCGACAGAAGCAGAAAGTTTCGATTTAGAATGTTTCATTTGCACAACATTTTTGTTTAGAATTTAGATATGTGTTATAATGTGATCCATTGTATGCATATGATAGACACTCACACAGATTTATTCATTCAGTTCTTGAAGTAATATATGTTTTTTTTTTATTTGTAGGTTCTACATGGAAAAATAAAAATCAGTCAAATTTGTAGAATCCATTCATAATTTGTTAATTGTCATCTCCTTCAATGCAATATTTCACTAGCAAACAATGCTTTATCCAAGTAGATTGATAAATTTTTAATAGAGAAATATCTATTGAATATTTAGATAATGTCATCCACATTTCTGAAATTATTACTTGATACTATCAACAATATGCTGGTTGGTATTGTTTTAATAAATTGACTATAATGACCTCACATTTGTCCTTTTATTTTTTAAAATGCTAAATTAAGACACTTTAAAATTTGTTTTTACTTGCACATTAGTGTATGAGATAGAAATGTACAAGATCAATAATTTTACTTGTCATGTCATACCCATATAGAGTCAAAGTACTATTTTATTTTTATTTTTTTGCTTTGAAGATAGGGCTTTGGGTGTTTGCATTCTACAATGTGTGTTTAAAAACACCACATATGCAAAAAAGAAAAGATAAAAGCAAAAGAGAATGACCCAAACAGTCAACTTTGGTTCCTTATTACATATTGTTGTATGAAAGAGATGCAAAATTTATATTGGAAGAAGTTGAAGTGTTATAGAAAGAATCCACTAAATTAAAAGGACTATAACTTAACCTTCTACTCTAAGATTGCAAAAATATGAGCCCAAGATACTTCGAAGAAGAGAGACAATTACTACCATTCTTACAATCGTTTTTCATCATGTGCTCAATTTCTTCTAAAATGCATTCAACTACTTACATACACACATATACATAATGAAAGATCAAATTCACCATATGTTTTATTGTACTCAAAATAATAAAATAATAAAACAAGAAAATTATTAATTTTGAAGATTTATCAAATTTAAATAAAAATATATAAATACTCAATATAAATAAATTTAAACAAATGTAGCTATACAAAAATATACAAAGACAATCGACAAAACATTAGCAATGTCATGCCTTGTTGTTGTTCTTAGGCTTTTGTGGATTCTTTCTATAACACTTCAACCTTTATTTAAGTCTTCATCTTTATCTTACATTTTGCAAAAAAAAAAAAAAAAAAAAAAAAAAAAACACATTATAATTAAGAAGAATTTATATTTCTAGTGCCTATAGATTATAATGCACAATTGCAATGATACAAATAAATTACTTGTATTTGTTGCACCAATCCTCTTTCTATACAAGTCTTGTGCATTCCTTCATCTCTTTTTACACCAAATCATATGCCATTTAGGTGATACTTATCAATCACAAACAACCTAGTAGACACAAAGTCTTCCAAGTAAATGATATTTAAAGCCTTTCAGTAGCAATAGTTTGAAAGTTTATACTTTGACTTTTTCATCAAAATTAGTAATAGAAAGTGTAATGATTTTAT